AAATTTATTTAAACAAATTAATTCTACACAAAAAATTAAATTTCTGCAATACTTCAATAATTAAAACAGTAAAACAGAATTTTAATTAATGAACACTCAGAAATAATTTCTGAAAACCAAAATTAATTTCTAAAAAAATTTCACAAATAAATATTCTGAATTGTTACTGACACTAGTATATTACTACTAATTGTCAAAGAAAATAGACAGTATATTACTACTATCTGTCAAATAGTATATAACCACTATTTGTTTTTCCAAACAGAATATTATTTTGTAAAATCACAAAAAATAATTTCTGTAAGAAGAAGAAAGAGAAAGGGAAAACGAAAAATTCTGTAAACAAAATAATTCGAGTCTATCTTAAGATTGTTGGAACAATCTTCTGTGTACAATAAATAAATTGAAACAAATCAAACAAATAAAATAAATTACATACCAAATTTATTTTTATCGAACCGAATGAATATTTAAAGATCAAGTCGAGTGTGTGACACTCTGTCCTTCAGACAGATTCGCCCAGCTACGGTGCTTATTGTGAAGTGGTGTCTATCTCCCGAGATACAATGATATTCACAAATTTATAGTAGCACTCCAAACAAATTTGTTCGAAGAACTAGAACCTTGTATTCTATACTCTCTTTAATTTTCTCTAAAACTAGAATGAAGAATAAATAATGCAAAGGAGAAAAATGAAGGCAAGGAAAATGAATTTTCGGAATGAACGACTGCTGGAAAATGGCCTGCTATTATAGACCTGAACATGTTCAATTATTCAAACTGAACAGGTGGAATTTGAATCCAATAGGTGCATAACAATTTAAACAGATATAGCACTGTTTCAACAGATAACTACTAGGCAGTTAAATCAGTTGAAACTGCAGTAGTTTAAAAAGCCTGTTTGGCAGATTTGAATCTATCCAGGTTCAAACAGATTTGAAACCTGCTAGGAATAAATAGACTGGAGGAGATAAAAATGGATAGAAAATTTAAATTCAAATTTTAAATTAATTTCCCGCAATAATTTTTGAAAAAAATTTAAATGAATTTTGTCTAAAAAATTAATATAAAAACCGATCTACGCCTGATACAGCGGCGGCAGCGTGCGTGTGGTGGTTTGGGCCAAGGTTTACTTTGTCTATAACTCCTCCCTTCTACAAACTTGGGGTGCCCCTTGGAGCCCAACCCAAGTTAGTACATCAAGAGCTTATATATCTACAAAAGCAGTCATTAAGTTTCAATGTGGGACAACTCATTTCAAGGAAACCTACATTTACTTCTTTAATTGTCCATTCTACGAACCTGAAAATGACGTTAACTTACCATTCACTGATAAATGATTTTGATGAACTGTCTTCACCATGTGATTTGCCATGCGGTAAGGAACACGTCACCTCCTCGGACCTATCCCAAAAGACGTTTGGAGCCCACTTAATTTTAGACTCAAAGTTGGTCCAAAATAAAGCCTTATAAAGCCAAATATCACATCTTACACATCAATTAGTTACTTTTTCTTTCACAATTATCTATTCAATTACAAAAAAATTACAAATCATTTCAAACAAATAATTTTTTTCATCTCATAAAATAGTAAAAAGGCCAAAAAAAAAAAAAACTATTAAAATAGCTAAATTACCAAACGAGCACTCATTAATATGAAATATTGTCATTATAGATGCAGAACAAAATGTGTGTTTATTTGTAGACGGCTTAAACAAGTTGTGTTCATGTTAATAGTATCATGTTGTCGGTCATCATAGTTGGGTTAACATGTTTAGATCAAATAAAAAGGCTTGTCAAAGTTAAGAAGTGCTTAGACCTCACCAAATCCCCTCTCCTCTGAAAATGAGCTAAATTTATTGTAAAAAAATGACAAATTCAAATCTTGCATCAAATTTTAATCAAGTCCCACAAAGTCATTTTTTGCCACATTTAATTTTTTGCTAAAAATGCAACTGTTTTTTCCTATCAAAATTCACTACTTTATGAACCAAAATTCACAACTAAAAGTTTTAAAACTGTTAAAAAAAATTCTACTAATTACAAAATCTAAAAAATACTAAAAAATATAATTAAAAATTTAAATTACCTCAATAATCACAATATATCTACCTTCAAAAACTATGAAATCAAGAAACCAAAAACTTGATATTTGTCTAAATCAATGATAGAGAAATAGTTTGGTTAAATTAGAGTTGAGCATTCATAAAGTAGTCAGATAATTGTGAAATGAAATTTAATTGTTAAATCCGTAATCTGTCTGCAATCCGTAAACATATCATATTTTAAAACGTATTCACTTACATTGTGTCCGTGAAGCCGTCCATTTATATACGGGTTGAACGGATTAGCCGAATTTTACAAATCGAATAAACTATTGGCCACTTTAAAGAGAAGCCTCTCCATTAATATTATTAAAATGGGTTTCATTGATTGATTGTGTGAACAGTATTTTAGTTGTAGTTAAATGTCATGACCTTTTGCCCCCAGCTAAATGCGGAACGCCTGGTATTTCATATCCCTTGCTTCACTCATCGAGGATTTCGCGCCGTTCGTTCTGCAGCTTTTTTTTTTTTGGGTTTCAATTTTTTGAATCATAATGCTATGATGATACGTTTTCTTTGCACCCTCGTTGCCCTTTTCTCATTAACTAATAATATCTATAATCTCATTTTTTAATTATATTTTCTTATTTTTAGAAGTAAAATAATGGGAGACTCACCACTTGTATTTAGGCCTAAAAAAAGAGAATATAAAAATAAGATTATATATATAACATTTGTTAATTTCAAATTTTATATAAATTTGTTGCACTTAAGAAAATTAATTTCACCCTCTCCAATCTTAACACCACTCATCACTACTAGTTTCGGCCACTTTTATCTGCCCTTTCCCAACCCCTCCCACTACTTCCTAACCTCTCTATATAGTCCGTTCCCACTCTCCAATTCGTCCCCACCCTCGGGTGTCACCTCTAGCCTTTTCTTACCCCCGGGGAGAATGAAAGAGAGACACAAAAGGCTGGAGAGGACTTGAAGGGTGGTAGCCGGATCTATGGATGGTGGAAGGAGGCTAGCTGGAGCTAGTGGTGGTGGGTGGTGGCTTACATAAGGCTAGGGTTAAATTTAAAGCTTGGAAAGTAAGGGATGAAACAAAATTAAAATTTTATGAATGAATGAATTTGTAATAAATCTTTTCTTTTTGTATATGTGGGGAGCAAATAACAAATTGGGGTGGTATTTGCCGCACCTATATGTACAGAAAAAAAATACAAAAATAGACACACACAACAGCAGCAGCAGCAGCAGCAACAATAATAATAATAATAATGATGTGTGGCCATTTTTTTGGGGGAGGGGGTTGAGAAAAGGAAAGGAAGTAGGAAAAAGAAAAGGTACATTTACAATAATAAACCTTTAATTCAAGTATAGCCCTTGACAACGGAGTAACTCAACTATGAGGTCAACCTAAAATTCGTTTTAAGTTGTATAGAATAACACATAAGAAGAATTTGGATCATGTAATTAATTTTTCTTATTAATTAATTTTTTTACAATTTTATATACACCATTGTTGTTTAATGGAGGCACTAATGTTAATAGGAATGACAACTCCAACAGAAAAACATGTGGATTCATTTCAATATATTTATCAAAATGGTATTGTCACATTATTGTTATTATTATAATTTTTTTTTTGGTATAAATTTTATGTATGGATAGTATTTTTTATAATATATTATTAAATTCCAATCATTTGGACTTAAAATTAAAAGGGTCAATTACACTAACACCCCCTTAATTATCAGTAAATATTAGTTTACCTCTCATATATGAGCCTGTAACTATATTGACTTCATCAATTATGAAAATTGTATAAATATACTCTTTTTGGAGGTGGTCTAAAGGGGGTCGCAAGGGTAAAGTGATACATTTTGTAGTCGAGGAGATCAAAATGTAAATTAATTGATGAGAAAATAAAATAATATTTACTAATAGTTGAAGGGTCTTGGTGCAATATCCCAAATTTAAAAAAAAAAATAGTTATATGAGTCTTTCAGGGTCAATTATCACTTATATTTATGAAGTTGAGACGTATAGATTCCGACTGCAAAGAAAATGAGCCAAATCCACCACACACATGTGCCAATAGTTGAAGGGCCTTGGTGTAATATCCCAAATTAAAAAAAAAAAAAAGAAAAAGAAAAAAAGGGGTTATATGAGTCTTTTAGAGTCAATTATCACCTATATTTATGAAGTTGAGATGTATAGATTCCGACTGAAAAGAAATGAGCCAAATCCAACACACATATGCTAATAGCTACAATGGTAGACACAGTCACCCGCCCATTTGCTAGATTAGTCAATGCATTAGTTGTGCCTAATCAAACACACAGCTGGCTCAACTCATCATCATCATAATCATCATCATGTGCATCTAGTTGATGCCAACCGATATTGATTGGGACATTTGTATTGCAAATTTGTAACTAAACACCAAAAATAGAAGTGGGACTACACCCACCCACAAGCACTTCTCTTATTAAATCCCATGCTTCAAAATTTGTATTACATGTGCTGATGTATTGTTTTTTTTTGATCGGCATGTGCTGATGTATTATTGATGTTACTACTGTTATTATATAAGAATTTTAGATAAATAAAATTATTACCTCATCAATTAAAACATTGCATTTTTCTATTGGGTATTAATTACATAACCCTTCTTCTCATTAATTTTCATATCAAATTTACTCATCACTAGAGATAGTACTTTACATGTCACATTCATATACTATTCCGTACAATACATGGACAACAAAGATAGACATAATTGCTAGAATTTTCGATAGTTTATTGTATTTATGTGGCAAGATATCAGGAAGGTATAATATGATATGCACATTTTGTATAAAAATTTAATCATCACAACATTACATTTTTCCCCTAAAAAGTTAATAAAATGAGGTAGCTTAATGTTACTACTTGATATGAACACAGGCCCAGGTTGTTCTTCTCTTGCCTATGGCGCAATGGAAGAGCTTGGACCATTCCGTGTCCATAGTGACGGCAAAACTCTCTACAGAAATAGATTTGCATGGAACAAAGGTATATGATCATCTTTCAGAAAAATTACATGTACAAAAAATATGAAGAAAAATCAATGTGCACTTCATTTTTATTTTAGGTATACTCAAAATGAATGTCACACTCGCACATTGATTTATTTATTTTTTTCCTCGTCTATGCATTTTTAATTTTTTTTTTTCTGAGAACCATGTGTTTTGAATATCTAAATTTTCTTATATATTCGAGTGTGGGGTGTTTACATACAGCCGCAAATGTATTGTTCTTGGAATCCCCAACTGGAGTAGGGTTTTCATACTCGAATACAACATCAGATTATGTGAGTGAGGGTGACAAAAGAACAGCTTCAGATAATTATGTGTTCTTGTTGAATTGGTTGGAGAGGTTTCCTGAGTACAAAACCAGGGATTTTTACGTTGCTGGTGAAAGCTATGCTGGCCATTATGTGCCTCAGCTTGCACATACTATCCTTCACTATAACAAGGACCCTAACAACACCTTTATCAACCTCAAAGGGATCATTGTAAGTCCCTCTCTCTCTCTTTCACACACACACTTGAAACTAGGTCCCTAGCAATTACAATTCTAAAATGTTTAATTAGGTGCAAAAAGCAAAACTAAGAGGTGATGTTGATACCTTTATTTTTGCTCTGCGTGTATTTTTGTGCATGTAACACGGCTCAGAGATAGACAAACATGGGTGGTCCATCCATGTGTTTTGTGGAAGTTGGACTAATGTGGATAGAATAGAAGCATAGGCCAGTGCATATTCTTCCTAGCAAATTACAAGAACGAGAGTACAATTATTGAACAATATTTAACAAATTTACAAATATTGTTTACTCCAAATAGGAAAACTATAGAATTCTATTGCCACATAATTGGTGCATAGTCCAATCAGGCACCCAGGCCAGACAAAACTGACCAGCCTGGACCTTTGCCAACTTCCACCTGTGAGTGGTGCTTATTGTTCCTTGCTCATAACATATAATTATATGAAAGAAACATAGAATGCTAGAAATCCAAAAATAAGTAAATAAATAAAATAAAATTAATCTTAGAAATGTGAGTAGTATAGTGTGGGTGATACTCAAAATGAATCCTATCTACAAATTTCATAGGGTAAATTACACATGACTGTCCTTGAGGTTGAAGAAAATATAGTAAGTTGCATAGTTTTGGCATTATTACACTAACATTCCTTTCAGTAAGGTTAAGGGACCAAAACTAATGCAAATAGTGTAAAAACACAATAATAAATAAGATAAAATATATATTTGAATGTAAAAGATATGACAATATTATTTTTTATCTATACGATTAACGAATTTTTAATAAAAAGAAAATTAAGTGTTTTCTGAATTAAAACCTTTTTTTTTTTTTTTTTTTTTTTTGTGAATTAAAACCTTGTTTTGTGAATTAAAACCTTAAATGAGCTCAATACAATTACTATGCCAACCTCTAGTGCTTATTGTATTTTTTTCATAACATTAGGGGAGATCAGTGTAATTTACTAATTTAATATTATGACAATTGTTGAAATATTTTTAAGGATGTAGCATTATTGTTTTAGCAAGTGTAATTATATTAAAAAAAATAATAATAAAATAAAAAACTACATATCATAGATCATGAAAGAAAGCTGTTATATATCATAACACAAATTTTACCCCTTTTTTTGGGGTCACTTTTCATATGAATCTAATCAACAAATGATTTTACCCCTTTTTTTGGGGTCACTTTTCATATGAATCTAATCAACAAATGCTATTTTCACATGTAGATTCAGTAAAATCAAAATCAATAAAATCAATAAGAAAACTGGTCTACATAGTAATATTTTGATTTAAGATTTGAAAAAAAGTTTGTGGATAAAAAGAAAAAGAAAAAGAAAAAGAAAAATTAGAGGGAAAAAAAAAAAAAAAAAAAGTGAC